GCTCTCCCATGTCCTTACCCCAATCCCCACACATCAGGCCATAAGCCTGTGTGATAACAATAACCCATAGTCCGCTATTACACAAACGCATTGTTAGCCACCAACAGTCCTCATTAATAGCTATTCACCCTCTTAGCCAGATTGTTATCCACTCCTTTGTCTGTACAATTGTTCCTTTCTCTCTTCGGGCTCTATCCCAAGCTATCGTTTACTCCTTACCCCTCCCCTACCCTATCTTCTGTATATAAACCGATGTTTCTCTAGATACCATCAGATCTGAAGAACAGTCACATGACCCAAAATGTTAACTCTGATTTCTGTCCACAGATGCTGCCAAACCTATTGAACTTTTCCAGCAATTTCTGTTTTTGTTTCATTTTATCCCAGTTGTCTATATCTAATATATGACTCTTTCTTATTCTTGACCTCAAGACTTCAATTTCTTTCTTCAATATTTAGCTTAACTTTGGTAGTGGGGAAAATGCTTGAATCTATCATTAAGGAAGAAATAGCAAGACATCTGGATATAAATTGTCCCATTGGGAACACCCAGCATGGGTTCATGAAGTGTAGGTCATGTTTAACTAATTTGATGGAATTCTTTAAGGACATTACTTGTATGGTGGACAATGGGGAACCTGTGGATGTGGTGTATCTGGATTTCCAGAAGGCATTTGACAAGGTGCCACACCAACGGCTGCTACATAAGATAAACTTGAATTGTATTACAAGTGATGTATTGGCATGGATAGATGATTGATTGACTAGTAGAAAGCAAAGAGTAGGGGTAAAGTGGGTGTTTTTCTGGTTGGCGGTCAGTGGCTAGTGGTGTGCCTCGGATCAGTGTTGGGACCGCAATTGTTTACAACTTGCATAGATGATTTGGAGTTGGGGACTAAGTGTGGTGTGTCAAAATTTGCAGATGACACTAAGATGAGTGGTAGAGCAAAGTGTGCAGAAGACACTGAAAGTCTGCAGAGGGATATAGATAGTCTAAGTGAGTGGGCAAAGGTCTGGCAGATGGAGTACAATTTTGATAAGTGTGAGGTCATCCATTTTGGTAGGAATAACAGCAAAATGGGCTATGTTTTAAATGGTAAAAAAATTGCAGCAGGCTGCTGTGTAGAGGGACTTGGGTGTCCTTGTGCATGAATTGCTAAAAGTAGGATTGCAGGTGCAGCAGGTCATTAAAAAGGCAAATGGAATTTTGTCTGTCATTGGAGGATGGAGTTTAAAGACAAGAAGGCTATGTTGCAGCTGTATAGGGTCCTGGTGAGGCCACACCTGGAGTACTGTGTGCAGTTTTGGTCTCCTTACTTGAGAAGGGATATACTAGCACTGGAGGGGGTGCAGAGGAGATTCACTCGGTTGATTCCAGAGTTGAGGGTTGGATTATGAGGAGAGACTGAGTAGGCTGGGATTATACTCATTGGAATTCAGAAGAATGAGGGGAGATCTTATGGAAACATGTAAGATTATGAAGGGAATAGATAAGGTGGAGGCAGGGAGGTTGTTTCCACTAGCAGGTGAAATTAGGACTAGGGGGCATCGCCTCAAAATAAAGGGAAGCAGATGTAGGACTGAGGTCAGGAGGAACTTCTTCACCCAGAAGGTTGTGAATCTGTGGAATTCCCTGCCCAGTGAAGCGGTTGAAGCTACCTCGCTGAATGTGTTTAAGGCACGGCTAGATAAATTTTTGAACAGTAAAGGAATTGAGGGTTATGGTGTGTGGGCGGGTAAGTGGAGCTGAGTCTCAAAAATATCAGCCATGGTCTTATTGAATGGCGGGGCAGGCTCAAGGCCTGTCCCGTGGTGTTGGAGGTCATATATTAGTCTGGATAGAATATTAGCTGACTAATAGACACCGAGTTGGAATAACGAGACATTTTCAGGGTATCAATTTGTAACTAAAGGTGTGCTGCGGGAATCTGTACTGGGGCCACAATTATATACATTACATGTTAATGACTTGGATGAGGGAACTGAATGTACTATAACCAAGTTTGTGGCTGACACAAAAATAGGTGAGAAGGCAAGTGTTGAGAATAACACAAAGTCTGAATCTTATAGTTTTTTGGATGTGTCTGTTCCATCGACTTTCACGTAGGGTTTCTCTCTGTGCGGGCTAGTGGGTTTCCTTGCTGCATCCTTGACCCTATGCCATCCCTCTCATCTGACGCACCTCATCCTACCACTTGCTGTCCTGCAACAACTTTCCATTGCTGAGATAGCCCAGAATGGACCAGCATCTGGTGCCTGTGCTATTTTTAGAAGGCTGTTGTGTACCTGGACAAGCTCTCAATCTGGAGCTACCTTGCATGGATCCTGACATTTGAGCCAGACCTGACAGACGAGGGAAAATTGCCCTGTTTTTCAGAAAGGGACCAGTGGTTGGGTGGTGCTGAGGCAGGATGATGTACTCCCCCAGGACCAGCAGGGGCAGTGATGACACCAGACTTGGTCTGAGGTTGCTTCCCAGGCCAGTTTCATCCCAGCTGTCTGGAGGAAAGCCCAGCACTGTAACAAGAAGGTCAATGATCATCAGGCTGAGTGCCACCATCTTCTCTCAGCTACCTCACAATAACTCTGTCTGTGCTACTGCGCCCACCTCCCACCAAGGCTTTTGTTCTACCACTCTCGCTATTGCTTGCACCATCTTCCCTCACTCGCTGTCATGCACCCCAACACCACTAACACTACATGACCTCTGCACTGCCTAATCTATAACTCAGAACACTTCCCCACCTGCACAAAAAGGAACAGCTGTGCCACCCAATTGCATCTCCTGTAATACTTGCCCCTCCCTCATTTTTGTTCCTGGTGATCATATAGACCATGCTGGACTCATGTGATTTTCCCACACTTCTTACCATAGCCAAGTTGGTCAGGCCCTATGAGATTCCACCCAAAGAGTTAATGGAGGGGTACAAATAGGCTAAGAGAATGGGTGAAAAACTTGGCACTTGAAAACAATGAGGGAAAGTGAGGTTGTATACTTTGGCAGGAAGCATAGAAGAGCTGAATATTATTTAAAAGATGACTGCAGAAAACTGCAGTACAGGAATTTGGGAGTCTCCATGCATAAATCATAAAAAGCTAGCATCCAAGTTCAGCAGGTAACAGGGAAGGCAGATGGAGCGTCGACCTTTATTTCAAAGGGAATGGAGTCTAAAAAACAGGGAGGTCTTGGTAAGACAATACCAGGCACTAATAAGATCACAGCAGGAATATCATGAGCAATTTTGGTCCCCTTATCTAAGGAAAGATGCTTTGACATTTGAGACAGTCCAGAAGAGGTTCATTAGGTTGATCCTGGTTATGCTAAAGCACTGATCAAGTTTTAGTGGTGTTCAACTTGGCACCATACTGAGTGAAAGAAAATAGGTCCTGTAATCACTTCATCTGTCAGAATCTTTATGGTTTGGTGTAAACAATGCAATTACCATTTTTCTGTTGAACCTCGCCTCTCAAAATTTCCTGCTCCTTTTTTTTTTGTTTTTTTTTTTTTTTTTTTTTTTTGAAGCTATTTTCTAAAAAGCTTCTCAGCCTGGTTATTGAATCCCTTCATGGCTATGCTGTGTAATCTCTCCAGCTCCACAGCCTCCCAGATTTGTGTTCCTCCTATTCTGACATGTTTTGCATCCCTGATTTTCTTCATTTCTCTAATGGCAGACATGCCTTCAGCCTCCATCACTCCTCCCTTCATGAACCTACCTCTCTTCTCTTTTAAAGCATTCCCTATAGCTTCCCACTTAGATGAAGCATTTGATGAACAACCCTAATATCTCCTTATGCAACTCAGCATTCAATTTTCTTTGATAGCTCCCATGAATGCCTTGGGACATTTTGCTATGTTTGAAGTGCTATGTTGATGTAAGTGATTAGTTGTTGCTCCAGGAGAACCATATGGTATTCATGTTTACTGGAAAATTGTCCATGTCGATGCAGGCATACATACAGTGCAGGATGGTGTGGATAGATGAGGGCTTTGGTTGGCTGAGTGCCAAAGCCAAGCAGAAACCTCTGTCTCTTGTTTGAGTCTCTAAATGAAATACATGCCTCCTACGTGAGTTCTGTAAGTGAAGTGATCCTTTTAGTCAGTACAGAGAGAAGAGTTGAGAATTGTGCAATTGCTGTCTGCTAGTTACCTAGGTAACAGTTTACTTTTTTTTAGGGCATTCATTTGCAGGGATACCTTGAGTTGAATGGGAGAGGGGTTTCTTTCTCTTTTCCCTTTGACTTTCTTACTGATCAATCATGTTGAGTTTGCACATGCTCAGACTACAGCACCGTTAAATCTAGAATACCGGTACAGTCAATAATTACATTTGGCGGACTGCAATTTCCTGAGAGCTTGCACCAAAAACTGCAAGAAAATAATTACAGCCACCTTTAGCTCCTTACCCAGAGGCAACTGATTGCCGAGCCTTGCTCCTGACTCCCTGAAGCGAGACAGGGCCCTTTAAGTCACGGCTACTCCGCTGAGTTGCAAAGTATCACATTCGAGCTAATTTCCTCAATCAAGAAAACCTGACTTTTTTTAATCTTGATGCAAATTATTTCTTTCACAATTTCCCTTTCTAACCTCTACCCCACCTCAAACATTTTTTGAAGGCTTGTGTTCCTTTCAAGGCAGGACCATATTTAAAATGAAGATAAAGTCACCACAGCCCCACTGAACCACAGGGCTGCTCTCTCATTGGAGAGATGACCAGTGGTTTAACTGAGGGTCATAATATCTCCGGCGAGGGAAGAGGTTGAGAAGGCGAGTCCTTCATAGTAAGCTCAGCTGTTGGCATCGCTCTGCATCACAAACCAACCATCCCGTCAACTGAATTAACCAATCCCCTACTTTTAAAATGTATGATTTGGATTATTGCATTGCAACGAGTGGTATATATGTTGTTGAAAGCTGCTTAAATTTTTAAAAAATATACATTTCAAGATAATATTGAGGTTCTAAAATCTGAGCATTAATCTAAAACCTAATCTCTCCACAGGGGGCTACTTTAATTGGTCTCTTTCCATTCATGTTGCACTGCGTCAAAGAAATGACATTAGCCAAAGTGGGTGTGTTGGCAAGATTAGCGTCCCTTGTGCTGCTAGGCTTTTCCACACAAACCTGGATGGTATTTCTGAGTAAGTAAACATTCTAAAGCCAGAGTCTGGAAGTTACTGTGTGCTATATGATCATATTGACGCATTTGTGCCAAATTCTCTGACCTTTTATTCTGACTGAGCAGTTGATGCTTTTTGAATTTCACTTTACAGACTTCCATGCTGAAGTGGCAGGCAAAGCAATTTGATTAAATGCATTAAACATTCATGACAATAATATTGTCCAGTGTAATTTTCAGAATTTGGATTTCTGTGCTCAAATTATACTTGTAGACAGTATCATCCTCTGTAAGCAAAATCAGATATATTTGATATTCGATATTTGCTATTGCAAATGACCCACTTGCAGAAATTGGAACAGATTGAAATTCAGCTACTGGAAATGTTAACTGGTTTTAAACATTAAAATTGTTTTTGCATATTTCCTCAGATTTCTTTTATTCCTAACTGTATGAATATATATATACAAAAATACATCACTGTTGTGAAAATTAATACCAACTGATACATTTAAGGTCAGTTACCTATTCATTTCGTTGATCCATTTGATGTGTTGAATGTTATTAACCATCCTCCCTTGATTTCAGAAACACATAAATGGAAGACGTTCAATTATTCATTTAATGTCTGTGAACGTTCACCCTAATGAGCCAGCAGCATTTTTGATTTATTCAGTGGGTGAAGACTTCAGTGATGCTAAAGACAATGGGGAATAGTTGGAAAGACAGCTTATTCCACGTATATGTGAAAAATCTTTACTTTAAAGCCTAATTTGACACTGCAAATTTAAAACCAAATGGGGGTTAGCTAATTGTTTTGAGGTAGTGTCATGCATTAAATGGAATTGCTTTGGAATCCTGGGATTTCCCTTTATAAAATCCCTCTGTACAAATAGTTATTAAGCGTGGAGAAATGTTAATGACTGTCTCACTAATAAATTGGCTTTGCTTGTCTGTTCCAATAACTCAAATCTGGGGTAAGTTTTTTTTAAAAGGATAAATTGCAGATTAGCCTTGTGTGGTACTTTCCCCTGCTAAAGAGATACACGGATATGGAAAGTAAAGCTCATTGAAATTTAAAGAATCCATGAAAACATTCATTTGCCTTTGCAGAATGTGCATCCCTCCATCCTTTAGGCAATACAGGAGAAGGGTTTACCCAGGTGACTTTGGAATAATGTCCAGCGAAGTGGGCTACAGCTGATCAGTATGCATCCATTCTGAGATTGTAAAAGATAGTAACGGGAAGCACGCAAAGACCTTTGGTGATACGTGTGGTTAAGGAAGGATGGGTATCTGAGATGGCAGGTGAGATAACTAAGCTTGTTTAGGATTGGGCATTTAAAACTGTAAGGATACTGTAGTGGCTCTGGATGAGAACAGAAATAATTTTAAAGGGTAAGTGAATAATTACCTAATGAAAGCTATATTGGCATTGGAGGCAGTTCAGAGCAGGCTCACTGGGCTGAGACCTGGAATGGAGGAGCTTTCTTTTGAGGGGTTGATAATTGGGCCTGTACTCATTGGAATTTAGAAGAATGAGAGACAACCTAATTGAAATATACAAGATTCTTAAGGGACTTTGACAGGGAAGTTGCAGATGGTTTGTTTCCCTTGTGGGAGAGTCTCTGATCAGAGGACATAATCTCAGGGTAAAGCATCACCCATTTAAGACAGATGAGGAGGAATTTCAGAACTGAGTATTATCAGATCAGCGATGATCAACTGATTTTAATTTGCTTTCTTACTGTCAAATGTACTGAGGTACAGTGAAAAATGTTGTCTTACGTGCTTTACAGGCAGATCGTACTATACAAGTGCACCAGAGTAACAACAGCGTGCAGGATACAATGTCACAGCTGCAGAGAGAGGTCACCATTAATATTAAAGAGGTCCATTCAAAAGTCTGATAATAGCAGAGAGGGAGCTGTTCTTGAATCTGTTGATACGTGTATTCCGACTTTTATGCCTTCTGCCCAATGGAAGAGGTTGAAGAGAGTTTAGCCCAGGTGGGAGGGGTCTTTGATTATATTGTTTGCTTTCCTGTTGCAGCAGGAAGTCTGTGGATAGGAGGCTGGTTTGCATGATGGACTGTGTTCATGACTCTAGTTTCTTATGGTCTTGGGAAGAGCAGTTGCCATACCATGCTGTGATGCATCCAGATATTTGCTTTCTATCGTGCATCTACAAACATTTGTAAGAGTCTTTATGGACATGCTGAATTTCCTTAGCTTCCTGAGGAAGTAGAGACTTTGTTGTGCTTTCTTGACTGTAGTGTCAACATGGGTGGACCAGGAAAGATCGTTGGTGATCATCGCTCCCAGGAATTTGACGCTCTTGACCATCTTCACCTCAACTCCATTGATACAGAGGCATGCCCTCCACTCTGCTTCCTGAAGTCAATTACCAGCCAGCTCCTTCATTTTGCTGACATTGCTGGAGAGATTGTTGTCTTTATACTATGCCAAAAAGGACTGTATCGCCTTCCTAAACTCCGTCTCATTGTTTGAGATTCAACCAACAATGGTATTGTCATCAGCAAACTTGTAAATGGAGTTGGTGTGGAATTTGGCCGCACAGTCATCTGTGTATAAAGAATATAGCAGGGGGCTGAGTATGCAGCCGTGCGAGGCATTGCTGTTGAGGATTATGATGGAGGAGATGTTGTCGCCTATCCTTAACAGCGTTTTGTTGGTCAGGAAGTTGAGAATCCAGTTAATGGAGGGGAGAAGAGACTTAGGTCCGAGAGTTTAGAGATGAGTTTGTTTGGAATTATGGTGTTGAATGGTAGAGCAATGGGCTGAATGGCTTACTTCTGTTCCTACATCTTATGGTCTTGTGACACCATCCTAAAAACTTGCATAGAATCCAGGAACAGGAATACACCTTTTGGTCCTTCAAGCCTATTCTGCCATTTAATATGACTGTGACTGATCCTGTAACTCAGAGTTACCACTTTCTCCCCATACCATTAGATTTTTTTTTATTTTAAAGGCATCCGCCTCTTCTTTGAATATATTCAGTGACTTGGCCTCCACAGCTTGTGTGGTAGAAAATCCCAGGTTCACTGCTGTTTGAGTGAAGAAATCTTTCCTCACCTCATTCCCAAATGCCTAACCTAATATCCTGACACTCTGCCCTCTGGTTCTGGACTGCCCAACCAGGAAAACGTTCCTCCTTGCATCTAGTCTGTTCAGCCTTGTTAGAATTTAATACAATTCAATCAGATCCCTTCTCATCCTTCTAAAGTCTCGTGAATACAAGCCCAGTTAAATCAATATCTCCTCGCACGACAGTCCTGCTATCCCGGACATCAGACTAGTGAACCTTTGCTGCACTTCCTCAGTGGCAGGTTTATCCTTCCTTAAATCGGGAGACAGAAAAATGTGTGCTTTCTATGCTCAGTTTGAGCAGAATACCACCAGTGTGGTGACGCCTGTCCCGACAGCCCCAGATACACCTGTGCCCACTGTCACTGATGCAGATGTCAGATTGGCGTTCCTGGGAGTTAACCCGAGGAAAGCGACAAGCCCAGATTGTGTCCCCAGCCAAGCACTCCGATCCTGTGTGGACCAACTGGCGGAGGTATTCACTGACACCTTCAGCATCTCCCTCTTACAAGCCGAAGATGACCATCATTCCCGTACTCAAGACAACACATGCAGTGTGCCTTAATGACTACTGACCAATAGCTCTGACTTCAATAATCAAAGTGCTTTGAGAGGCTGGTCATGACCCACATCACCTCTAGTCTCCCAACCTGCCTTGATCCTCTATAATTTGCCTATCTACGTAACAGGTCCACAAAGGATGCCATATCCTTAGACCTGCACTCATCCCTGGACCAGCTGGACAACAAAGACACCTATGTCAGACTCCTGCTTGTTGACTACAGCTCTGCTTTCAACACCATTATCCCCTCCAGACTGATCTCAAAACTGTGTGACCTCGGTCTTGCCTCTGCCCTCTGCAATTAGATCCTCACTTTTCTGACCCATAGGCCACACTCAGTGAGGAGAGGTAACTGCACCTCCTTCACAATAACACTCAACACTGGAGCCTCCCAAGGATGTGCCCTCAGCCTCCTACTGTACTCGCTGTACTCCCATGATTGTGTAGCCAAATTCTGAATGAATGCCACCTACATGTTCGCTGATGATGCTACCATAGTGGGAAGGATATTTAATAACGATGAGTCAAAACACAGAAGGGCGATGGAGGGCTTGGTGACGTGGTGCAATGAAAATAATTCAATGTCGGCAAAACTGAAGAACTGATCATTGACTTCGTACAGAAAGGAGGTGAGCACGTCCCCATCTACATTAATGGAACTGAGGCTGAGAGAATGAAGAGCATCAAGTTTCTCCCAGTGACAATATCTGACGACCTGTCCTGGACTTCCTGCATAAGTGTGACAGTGAAGAAGGCACAACAACGCCTCCTCTTCCTCAGGTGGCCCAGGAAATTTTCCATGTCCTTAAGGACCCTCTACAGATGCACCATTGAAAGCATACTGTCTGGGTGTACAGTACCCTTTTTTAGGCCTGGTATGGCAACTGCTACCCCAGGACTGTAAGAAACTACAGAAGGTTGTGTGCACAGCCCAGACCATCACGGAAGTCAACCTTCCATCCATGGACTCTAATTACACTGTTCACTGCTGCAGAAAGGTGGCCAACATCACCAAAGACCCTTTGCACCCTAGTAAAAACCAAAAGAACTGTGGATGCTGTGAATCGGGAACAAAAACAAAGTTGCTGGAAAAGCTCAGGTCTGGCAGCATCTGTGAAGGAGGAAATAGAGTTAACGTTTTGGGTCCGCTGACCCTTCCTCAGAACATTGCACCCTGGCAATGACGTCCTACAATCTCTTCTGTCAGGTAGAAGATATAGAAGCCTGAACACATGCACGAGCAGGTTCAGGAACAGCTTCTTTCTGGCTGTTATCAGACTGTTGAATGGAGTTTGGCCTCAAATAATATAACCTGCAAGCCTCTGTGTCTTTTTGATCTGTACATCCTTT